GATTTGACTTGTTCGAGAGAAAGGTTTGAAATCAATTTAGCGATTATCTCTACGATTGGTAAAATTAAATAAGGTTTGTTTGAATATAAACGTTTCATGAATTAATTCCGAGGAACGCTTAGCCTAGAATCTACCTTTCGTTTCTTTGTTTATTTTTATTTTTATTTTTAGTTAGATTAGTTCTAGTTTAATTCTTAGTTTATAATCATCGTTCAATTCACTAGTCTAGATAATATTGAATCGTCATTATTTTAGTACTTAATTAATTTAACTACAATCTCTGTGGAATACGACCTTGCTCGCCACTACCTATAGCTACTCCGTACACTTGCGGATAGCAAAAATAATTAGCGAACAATCATTGCAGAAAAATGATCGTGTTTGCTGAAGGTGCCAGAATCTGAAATAAGAAAAAAGAGTTCAAAAGGGAAGATATTTAGGGTTTTTTGCAAAAAGAGGAGAAAGAAGAGGAATTCACGGCTGAAGAACTTGGAGAAGAAACAACAAAACAAAAACCAAAAAAGCAATCCAAACGAAAAACAAAAATTGGAAAGTCAAACTCTTACTCATTGTGGGTGATGGTGTTGGTTGAAAATGCGAGCAGGAGCGGTAAAACACGGTGAGCTTGGGATTACATAAAACTCGATTACAAGGATTGCTGGGAAGACTTGAGCGAAAATAAAAAATTTGAAAAAGTTAGGTTGTGGGGGTATTTATAAGGTGCAGACTGGCTTTGGCCGCTGGATTGTGGGTGGTGTCGACTACCAGAATTCATCACTCCAGTTGGAGGGGCAGTTCGGGTTAAACCGTTGGATTACGATAGAAGCGGACGACTGATATCAAAAGGGGGTGAATTTGAAGTGACAAGCCTGGAGAACCATTGGATCGCACGAACAATTATCGGCTGAGATCTCATAGCCAATTGAAATAACAATGAACTTTTAACAGTCGAATCAAAGACAGATCGAAAGGTGACCATTAATAAGGCATTTAATAGGTACGGTATATGAGGCAAGACGATTCACAAGACAACGATGTCAAGCGCATGACTGGATAGGCCTGACAAAGTGACAGATCTGACAAGATGGAAACTTGAAATGTGAAATTTGAATTTCAAAATAAGGACCAAGAGGGGATCAAAAAACCAATGTTCTGAAAACTGAACCAGTCAAGCTATTGGTTCAATGGTTCACTGGTCCGACTAGTGGTTGAACCGGTTGGACCGTTATTTATTTATTAATATTTTTAACTATATAATATTTTATAAATATAGCTAATTTAATTTTTAAATACTAGTCTAACCAGTCTTTTGTTTGATCTAGTCAAAATTAATAGTCATAGATACTAACATAATAAATGTTGTGAGAGGGCCTACCTAAATTTATGCAATAAATTAATAGGAAAAAAAACTAATAGGAAATAAATAATGAAAAATAAAATTTAAGAAAATACTACAATCCCGTACGGAACCATTCCGTTGGGATTTGTAACCGTTAGATCATCAAGTAACCGTCAATGATTGTTGATCTAACGGTTACAAACCCAACGGAATGGTTCCGTAATGGGATTGTAGTCTTACCCTAAAATTTATACCTGTTGGATGCTTGTGACTTTTGAGATGGCTTACCAAAATTTTTGTAATAAACTAATAGGTAAAAACTCATGCACTGCACTCCACGCGCATCTCAACAATTGAAAAGGTGTGCTACCTGCTTTTGCTTGTCCCACATCGGTTAAGGATAAAATTATATAAATGATGTCCTTTATAAATTTGTTACAATCTGTTCCATGTGCAAAAGGAAAAATTGAGTGGCGGGTCTTCCGGTTTTTGGCCGGTTTTACCCTGTTTTGACCAGTTCAACCGGTTATTGACCAATTTTTGAACGGCTCACATGCAACCGGCTTATTCCAGCAATCCAGACCGGATTAATGGCCGGTTCCCGGTTGAAACGGCCGGCCCGGTCCGGTTTTCAGAACATTGCGAAAAACACAGAAGGAACAACTAGTTGGTCAAAGTAGTATGGTATAGTCAAATCGAAGAATTTTGAGGATGAATAGGTCGAAAAAAAGAAAGGTAGAGATGAATCAACTAAAACCAAGGACAAATCTACTCTTATATCGAGTTATTATAACTCGACCAGAGTCGAGGGGACCAGATAATATAGGATACAATACCTGGTAGAATAAACCAAGTGAACCGGTTGGTTAAAAAAAGATAGCAGGAGTGTCGCTGGTGGTCGAGCACTGTCGAGGAAGAACCAAGAGTCTCCAGATCAAAGACAACACTCGGGGTGCAGGAAGGCAACGACAGGCCGAGCTAGGGCCCTTGGATAGCCACTTGGGAACTCGTCTTATAGGCACGGCTGGTTGCACGATCTACCATAAAGGATAACACTTGGTCTCAGAGCAGGTGATGTTCTACCTCAGTGGACATCGAGCTGTTCACACTATTATGCAGTCTAATGAGAAAGACTAAAGGATAAGAAGGAATCTTAAGGGGTTAAGAACCGCATATGGATAGGATCTCGTAGCCTAACAGAATTGGATAGTTCGGGCAGATCGGGCATTTTGGGCAACTCGACTTATACTATCGGGCAGCTCAAGCAGTTTGGGTAGCCCATCCGGGCAGTCTTGGGCAACAAGGTATCACCTCTTTATATAAAGTAGTGAGGTATGTCCATTATCACATTACATTCTCTATTATTTCATACATTATTTTTTGCACATCATCTTCAACATGTGCTCATTTAAGCAACGGAGACTGTTCACTGAAAAACTCCTCTGGTGTGAGAGTTTTTGCAAGTCCGCAGGTGATCTACCGATGAGGAAGCTCGAGTTCAGATCGATTCCAGTCGGTCCAAGGTCTTTTGCGTAACACAACCGATATGAATCCTTCAACTACGCTTCCACTATTCGATTATGGTTATCAATTATTCGACATGAATGTAGGATGCTCTGAGATTAAAGTGATGCTTTCTTTCGCATAAGGTTAAAATCCATCAAAATAGGCCTTCGCCGACATACAAAGTGCTAAGATAAATTTTGGTGTAGACACTTGAGGCTCAAGTTAGTAAATATAAGAAAATCTATGTCCGATTGTGCTTACAAGAGCAATACATAAAGTGATATTAGGATTTTCACACAAGAAATATGAAATTAGGATTTTAAGTAACATGGTATTCATACACACATGCAAGAAACTGAAAGGGATGGTAGAACAAACATCTTGTCACCTTCATTTGATAATTAGAAGTTGGAATTCTATTTTCCCTTGCACATCAGCACATGGAGAGGCATGGAACAAAGCGCTGGGCCTATGTCACTAGTCATACAAAGACTACACCTAATGAATGATAGGACATGGTATCCTCGACTCAGTGCTAGTATCATTTGATGGAAAAATATTATTTAACACACAAAATTTGATACAAGATATTCAAAATCTTGGAACCAATAAATTTTATTAAAGTTTATATATTAATGTAGAATATTCATGCATAGAAAATTCAAGTGTTTTGCGATCCTATATGTAAAATTCTGATGCATCTTAATATTATGTGTCAACTTATGAATTCTGTTGTTTTTTAATCATATGTTCCAATTTATGGTGATTTAAAGTAGTTCATGTGGATTGGATTCTGTTCATACGTATTAAAAATTTTACAATTGTATATCACTTGATTAACTTAAATTATAAATATATATAAAAATCAATGACTTTTGTCTTTGTTATAACTTTTTCATATATAATATATCAAATTGATCATTTTTTGAATTGAAAAAAATTATTATAATATAAGATGAAAAAATTGTACAATTAAAAGGTCCATTTTAAATATAAGTAATAACAAAAAACTTACAAGTATTTAAAATTTATATATACACCGAAACTTTGTAACAAAATAAGTTTTATTTTTTTTTTTTTGTTGAAAATTTTGCTTTAATTAAATTTTTATAGCATTGCATCTTTTTCGTTAAGTGAGAATTTCAAAGACGACCATTTTTTCTTATAAAATAATAGAGTAAAAATATAAACTACACAAAAAAATTAGGTAAAAATAAGCATTCAAAAATCCAACTAAATACTTAGGATAATCTGTAGGGAGAATTTCCTTAAAAGTGAGGATTTTAGATATTGTGTTCAATTTTTATAAATTCTCAATTCGGGATAGATTTTAAATATTTTCCCAACTAGGGCATATATTTTGAAATTGGTTCTCATAAGTATTTATGAAATGGAAACAAAATAACTATGCTAACTTCTAAACTCACCACTTCATTTTTTTAGATCCTTTTTAAAATAAAATAAAAAATCACAATTAATTCATGATAATTGAATTATAATATAAACGAAATAAAATAAAAATTCAAAATTTAACTTGAAATATAGATTAGGCCGTCAATACAACTAAAAATATTAATTTTACACAGTTAGTAAAAGCTAGGCCTTATGGAATTTTCTCAAGTATAAATTGACCAACAAAAACAAAGAAATTAATTAAAAAAATGGCACTTTTAAATTTTATATAACTCCACTTAATCTTTATTAGGTTTATAATAAAACAAATAAAATCATGACAAAAAATAGATGAAGCTTCATTGTTCATATTTAAATTATTTCAGTTAATACACATTTTCAATCAATCAAAAAATATTTTTTTTGATTGATTATCGACGAATCAATTTCTAAATAACATATTTGTCTGTCTCATCTGAAGGCTCCAAAACCAAAAGTCCTAAATTAACTTTGAAAATTGATTTAAAATTCATCGTCAATATCTTTAAGAGATATTTTATTAAGATAAATAAAAAAAAAATGAGGATACTTCCATTAAAATAAAATTCCTTATTAAAAATCGAGGATAATTTCATTAAAATAAAATTCCTTTAAATTTTTTTACTTCACGCTCGTTTAGTCACCGGTAATCACTCCGAGCATGCTCAGTATTTGCCACGTGTCTCTCGTCACCATTCCATTAGTCAAGCAAAAATTGTCCACCTCCAATCATCAATAACCACCCCCCACCCCACCCCCATCAATCAATCATGAAATTCCACATTCTCACACAAAACACACACTAGCTATGGCAATCTCTCTCTTCCTCTCGATTCCCCCGAAACCACCGTTTCCATAATCCAATTACTGCCGAACCCTAGCTTCCCTCGCCATGGCGATTGTCACGGGCGACAGATACCTGGAATCACTCGTCAAATTCGTCGAAAATCAGGCGGACAAGCTGATCGAAGGGACGTTAGTGTTGAAATTGAATCCCGTGGGTCTGCGGTATGTGCAGTCCAGGCTGGAGGCGCTGGCGGAGCTGGAGAGTCTCTTGGCCGGAGCTCCGGTGGACTATCTGCGGGCGTACGTTTCCGATTTGGGCGATCATCGCGCGCTCGAACAGTTGCGGAGGATTCTCCGCCTGCTCCCGTCGTTGAAGGTGGTCTCGGTGGTTCCGCCGCTGAGGAGGGACCCGACGCCGTTGTATTTGCGGCCTTTTGGGAGGTTGAAGGCTCTGGAACTCCGTGGATGTGATTTGTCGACATCTACGGCCAATGGTTTGCTTGAGTTGAGGTTCACACTTGAGAAGTTGATATGCCATAACTCAACTGTGAGTACAATTTCTCATTTTGAAATTGGGAATTGTTCTTTGTGCTTGCACATGTGATCTGTTTTGGTGTGGTCTAGGTGTTGGAGAATTTGGTTTTGGTTTGTGAGGTGATTGGTTCAAGTAGTGTATGAAACATAGGATTTGGAAGTTCATGTGGAAAAATGGTTATTTATCTTATGATTGAAAGTTATGAGTTAAAATGCTAGATATGCCATGATCTTTTGTAAGCATAACTGTTTAGTGTTTGCTTTCATCTATTTTTTTTTTTTTTGNCCTATGGGAGAAGGCATAATATGCAAAATGAGGAATATTTCTAAATCACGAATGGTCCTGGAAATTTTGTCGATGGTGTTTGTCTTCCTTTTAATTTGACCAAAGACTTGATAAATGTGCAGTTACTGCTTGATCTAATCAGTTACTGTGCTTTGGTTCTTGTTCATGATGATTGGTTTAGGATGCACTCAGGCATATATTTGCGAGTAGAATTGCGGATATAAAGGATTCACCCCAGTGGAATCGGTTGTCCTTTGTTTCATGTGCATGTAATGGCTTGGTTCTCATGGATGAGTCTTTGCGGCTTCTTCCTGCGGTTGAAACTCTTGACCTGAGTAGGAACAAGTTTGCAAAGGCGGATAACCTCAGGAAGTGCACAAAATTGAAGAATGTGGACTTGGGATTTAATAATTTGAGGAGCATCACATCATTTGGGGAGGTACGCATGTCTACAACCTTAGTGAAGACGATCCTTGTGCTGTTCAGCTAAATTCAAGTTCTTTTTCATGGTTACTTTCTCAAACTTTTGCTCAATCATCAAGGCATACCACAACAAAGATTCTTGTGACAAGTCTATCTAAACAGATGTATGCTTGATGAATATTATTATTGTAATAATTAATATGTGTTAGTAATTGGTTGCTATTCTGCCTATAGATTTGTAACCAATTTGCTATTTGATTATATGAATGATCAATGAATGTACGTTTCTTCGTGCTCCCTCAGAGTCCACGCTCGAGCGTGAAGGCAAATATTTGTAGTTCACATTGATTTGAACTTTTAAAGAGTACCCTATTCATTAAGCTGACAATAAGGATTATCATTGAATCATGCCCGATTAGAAATTCTTTTCACTGTAGTTAATAAAAAATTGTTTACTACGAAATAAAGATAGAATTAGCTTCTAAGTAAATCTAGGCAACTTATTTGCGAGTTTGTTATATAATTGATGAGACCTTAAAAAGTTTCTAGAGGTTCTAGTATATGTTTAAAAATAAGTGCCACTCTATAGAAAAACTCTAGAATCAATAATTTGGATTCATGCCTACCGTACCCATCTTTAAGTCTTCTTCAATCATATTTTTAGATCCCTTTCCGACTATTCTTAAGAGAATTTAGTGTTTATGGTAAACTAAAATTAAGAGATTTCTTTTTAAGATTTCCTATATGGATATAATTGAAAAAGTAGTCTAATACGACAAATAATTAGCAACAAAAAGTCCAACCAATAACGACATTTGAAACTAATAAGAGGGAGTATTTTAGTAACAATGACCAATTCTAATGTATAATGACTTTATGGAAGTTGATATCCAATATTAATTGATGGATTAACTACATAAAATATTGATTAAAGAATGGAGAATCTGGTGGGAAAAATTTAAGGATAGCTGTTTGATTTTTTGAAAATTAGTTTGTTACCATTTTTCTTGTCTGAAAAATTAGCAGTTGATGGAAACTGAAAGAATATGCATATAATAGTCAACTTGCAAGTTTAGCCATTCAAAGATGCACGGAGGTAGTAGTAATCTTAATTATAAAATCTGTCAAAAGCACTCATTTTCTCAAGTCTGCAGCTTAATTTTGATACTCCATTTCCACTAAAGCATGGCTTGAGAAACTATCATTTCAATAAACTGGCTAAATTATATTCTTGTCAAATTAAAGCTTCAAATAAGCCTATCTACTCCATTATTCAAACTCTGGAATACCAAACAATTTCATGAAACTTTAGTATAAAGCCGTAATATATCCATCCAACTACTTTTGAGTTGATTTTAGCGGAACTATGTGACAGGGACACACTTACGTATACAGTAAATTAGTGTTTTTGTTAATCGTTGATCTTTGCAGGTCTCCTGTCAGATTGTAAAGCTTGTGCTGAGGAACAATGCGTTAACTTCATTGCATGGTCTTGAAAATTTAAAGTCACTTCAAGGTCTGGATCTGTCCTACAACATAATATCAAACTTTTCAGAAATAGAGATGCTTGCTGGTCTTCCTTCTCTTGTTAACTTGTGGTTAGAAGGAAATCCTATTTGCTATGCTAGGTGGTTCCGTGCTCAAGTATTCAGCCTTTTTTCTCATCCAGACCAAGTAAGACGACATTTATAAGATTTTTTTCCAGATAATTGATGAACTGTGATATCTAATAGAACTGTTTTTTAATATATTTTGTTAAAATTTGCTTCCACCTAGTTTAAACTTATTTGGTTTGCATATACGTTTAATTCAAATGTGATCTAGCTCAAACTGGACGAGAAAAGTATCTCAGTTTGTGAGTTTTGGAAGCGGCAAATCATAGTTGGAAGCAGGAAGAAGCAGCCTGCAAGCTTTGGATTCTATATACCCCTACAAGATGCTGATGTGGAAGAAAGTATAAACAAAAGAAAGGTAGGGAAATCTTTTGATGGTGGGAAATGCTTAATTTTGTGATTATGGTTTTTGAACTTTAACAAATTAAGAAATTTACCAAATACTTTGGTGGTGATATGCAGAAGCGCATCTCTCGCCTTGTCAGTATTGAGAATGACAACCAGAGCTTATTATGCTCCGACCAAGATTCAGTGTCATGTGATAACGAGTTCCATAGTAAAGATGAGAACGCCAATACAGATGAAGCAGCGGAAATAGAAGATTTGATGAAAAAGATTGAGTTTATGAAGAAGGACCATTCTGTTCTATGGTTGCAGGAATTTAAAGAATGGATGAATCAAGCATCTGAAAATTCTGTTGACGGTAGTAAATGGAATGCTGTCTTATATAGTGATGAAGAAATGCGTTTGAAGAGTGAGATAAAAGGTGAAGAACTTTGCGAGACTTCAAGATATGTCTCCGACTCTGTTCAGCTTTCTGGAGATGAAAGTAGCACAATCGTTCTAGAATCTGAGACCTCTTTTGCGGATGCATCCACTGTTGCCAGTGCCCAAAGGTACTTTGATCAGATTGGTGAAGCAGCTTCAAGACTTTTCATGGGCATTGCTGCAGGGGACCGGTTTTTAGCAAAAAATAATAATGTTAATCAGGAAGAGTCTAGATTATTAAGCAATGATGGGATTGTGTCTGCAGATTCTGGGAAGTCACTCTTCAATTCTCTTGCAGTCCCCAAAGTGGACAATTTGACCAAAAATGCAGTCTCCCCTTTAACTCCATTAAATGACAATACTGAGGGTCATTTATCATCAGTGTTCCCAGGGTCTCCACCTCATTACCAAGAGGATATTTTACACCGGCGACGCAATTTAGAGGAAGAATTTTTGCAGCTATCTGCTGAATCTCTCTCAGTTGCTTCCACTGACAGCAATACAAGTTGTAGCGAAGATGAGTCTGCAAAAGTTGGCCCTTCCACGACTCACAGTGAACAATCTTTTCCTAATAATTCATCAGAAAGGAATCGTTATGATTTTATTGTTGCTCCATACAGATTCAACTCAGGTGATGCTTATCATGATAACATTTTGTTGAAGAAGTCAAATGGGACACGTACATCAAGCATCTGTGCTGAAGGAAATACTGTCAGCACTGATGGCAGAGAGTTAGAAATATCCGCTCTGTGTAATGATGTGAGTTCAGGGATTAACAAGGAGAAAACTGATTGGTTGGACAAGACAAAAAGAAGAAAACCACCCAGGAGGAGAATGATATCCTTACCAGAGGAGGAGGATGTGCAAGGTGACATAGACTCATCAAAGAAGTCAAGTGACCTTGTGGAGACCTATCAAAGTGATGTTGTACATGAAGTATAAGAAGTCTGGTGATTTAGTGAGCTGTAGGAATTGACTGGCTCAAAATAATTGAGACCGCTTTAACTTATATCTTGGCTCATGTTCCATGGGAAATAGTTCCGATTTCAATAGATCAGAGGTGGAAAAGGCAATTTTCATTGGAACTTCCTGAATTCCAGCGTTGCTCATTGTAGGATTTAATGGGATGCTTAGACACAATGTCTGGTGCTGAAAAAAAGATCCAGATATGATGAAAGGTAACATTGATATATTGTTATTAGTAAATTGTATAAACATCTCATAGCATGAGTTAATTTTATGCTTTTATGGGCTTTAAATGCCTTCCGTCAGAATCACACGACTATGTTCTAAGAAGCTTACAATGTCATTCTACCATAAGCATATGTTGCAAGTGCCTAGATTATATAACTGAACGGTTCATTTTGCTATATTCATATTTGTTATATGTTACTATGTTCCTCTTCTGTCCATATGTAGGGAAGTTGCATATGGTGGAGCAGCAATAAATAGGTTGTACATGGATGAGGTTAGCATTCTTGTGCTATGAGCTTTTACCTAGAGATATAATTTTGTGCTGCTTCTAATTGTGTATAAGATATTATATACTGACGTTTTGTTGCGTAAATGAAATTATTTAACCTTTAGATTTATGAGAACTTCCTCAGAAAAATGCAGTCTATACTCTAGTATTGAAATGATAAAACAACAGAATCCCTATGAGTGTTACACTTATATCCTCTGGTGTTATTTGTAGAAATCAACAATATTTAATCTGGGTATTTGTGAGTTACTAATATGGTCAACACATGCTTATATGTATTTCCATGCCTCTTTTCTTGTCATAGTTGACAATTATATAAACCTGCTAATCATTAACTGTTCCTGGTATCAGATAATTTTTGTAGTTTTTGTTTATTTAATATGATTAAATGGTACGAGACTGGGTGGAACTCATTCCCAAAAGCTTGCTCAAAGGGAAAGAGTGCATAACCCCACACTTATACACAATAACAACCTAGTAACTAATCGATACAAGACAAATATAACTTCTGACATTATATGTCTTAACTAGCGTAGTGAAGTTTAATATGCAGTTGTAAATCTGAGATATACTGGATGTTTAAGCATTCCCTTGCCCTGTTTCTATTTATCACGACGTCATATGAAGGCTTAAAGTGTAATAAGATATCTTTGTTTAATGTGATTTTTAATATCCAGAATGTATTCACATTTTCATTTTTCAAGATTGCTATTCGTATAAATGCCTATGAATGTATGTGTACAAATATGTATTATACTCCACATGTATTATATAAGGATATCAATGACCGAACTGTGAAAAGATAAATTTAATGGGAATTTTCTTCACATCTCACTTGACTGTAAGATTGTGATATTTTAGTTTGAGTTACTGGCAATGTTGATGTTTGGGATAGAAAGCCATTTATTTGATTTTAATATGTTAGAAACAAAATGTCATTAACTCTTTTCTACATTTCTTTTTCCTTTCTCGAACCTCCATTTTCATTTATATGTATAAAAATATCAGTGATCACAAACCATGAAAAGATAAATCTAATGGGAATGTCCTTCATATCTCATTTGATAGTGAGGTTGTGTTAAAGAAAATATGATGTTTGTATGAGAAGCCGTTTATATTATTTTAATATGTTAAAACTGCAAAAGACATCAAGGGGTTGTGATTGGATATAAGTTATTTTGGATTTGATTTGTATTAAAATAATTTTTGGAATAACAATTGAAGTTAATTTGATGTAAAAGCAGGATATAGGTGATTGGTAATGATGAGTAGTTAAAATATGTGAGTGGATGAATAGTGAATTAAAGTTGATGTGATGTGTGAGGATGATTGATGGGTATTATTTAGCTTATTGAGAATTTTCTGGTTTGATGATATCAATTTTACTTCACTTCCAGTAGGAAGTTACATCCCGTGCAACCAATCAATATCATAGTTTCTTGCAATATTTACACTACATATCAACTTTTATATTTGTGATTGCTAATGGCCCAGCCCTCCAGTTTATCTTCTGTTTCTTGGTTATTATGCTGTGAAGTTTGAATTAAATGTTTTTTCTGCAGATCATTCACCGTTGATACATTGGATAAAGCATGGTTCCTGCATTAGCTTCAAAACGTAGTAATTTTTCGTGCAAGGATGTGTTTCAAAAGAGTTCCGTTTTTTCTCAAAACAAGAAACCCTGAGTCGTTAAAGATTGCCCCTTGATTTCTTAGGCTTGCTGAAAATCATATTCATGCTGAGGCTACAGTGAAAAGTTGTTTTTTGTAAATGAGAGACCATGATTGGTGTATTTTGTATTTTGCCATTTCTTTATTTTATTCTTTTAGTGCGTAGGTGACCATTGTTTTGTTACCTGTAAATGTAAGGTTGATTTGTATTCATTGATTTGTTCTACATGGAATTAGGTGCTTGTGTAGAGTAGTTGTATAGGCATCCAGCTCGAAATGTATAGATTTATGATATTTAATATGAATGAGTAGCAATGTCAGAGCTGAAATTTTATCTACCTACTTGAAAGTAGGGCAAAATCATAAGTTGTATGCCATTTATGTACTTGCTAAGAAGACGAGTTTTTCTGTGTATTCAATATTCATGCATATTTTTTCAAATAGCATAACTATTACCTAAAATTTATCGGGCAATTTTGTTCGAGACTTGATGCTAGGGAATCCAGACGTTGGCTAGAAATATTATACTGAAATTCTTAAATAAAAATTTGTGAGATAGATTCTTTGTTATTTAAATTTCAAATGCATGTTAAAAGATTAGATAGTTTTTCATATTTAAAATAAGATTTTTCATTTGTACTATTTGCCCGTTTAATATTATAATAATTTTTTTAATTCGTATGTAATGATTTATAAATGACATTTTGAATTGATATATAGTTTTATTAATTTTTAATCAGTATTAATAGATTATATAATTATATAATAGAGAAAAATTAAACTGTTTATTTATTTTATATATGCATAAATATCAAATCTAAACTCATCAAAAGTGAGAAATAATATGCTTCTTCAGAAGAACAATACCCAAACCGAGATATGGTCCAAGGCAAAAATACACAACGTGAGAATGATAAAATTGTTAAGAGTTATTGTTGTCCGGGTACCATTGTCTTGGTGCACACAAACAACCAGTAAGTTCAGAACATCGCGCTACTAACTAACTAGTGTATCTGATAGTATTTACTAAGGAAGATTCAAAGTCACACTTATTTATCCTGATGCAATGACGGTTCGTTGGAACTCTCAAGTATTGCACATGCATTAATTACATTTATATGTGGGATTGTAAGGAAAATTAGTTTTGTACCGATTTTACAGTTCTACTTTTCGTAAGTGGAGGACTTAGAATAAAATCTCAAAGCCATTTGAGGTTGAATGAGAAATTAATTGTACAGTTGAAATAGGGGGGATTTGAGTATGTAGCTAAAATTGAGTTTAAGTAACTCAAAGATTATACGGTTTGCAAATGTTCTTTCTTTGAAGATTGTTTGGACAAACCAAACGAACCATAATTATGCAATACGCATGCTAGAACTCTATAAGCTTTTATTGGGGACGAGTAGGAAAAAATGGTGTACGAGTGCGTACGAGCTCCTGGTGCGCAAAAGCGCGCTTGGCCCCTTTGTGGGCACGACGCCTGAATTAGCTCTCCAGTTGCCACGACCCAAACTCACTTGCTCGTGCCGAAAGGTTCCTACCCAGTTTAGACGATCGGACACGTCCAGAAGGTGTATTTTGATTCCTTGAACTCTTAATGATGCCCAAGAATATCTATAAATATTCATGAAGTGAAATAATTCATATAATCATATTTTAAGAGCTCTTTGTATCCTTTTACAAAATTCATAAAGCCTCTTATGCTCTTGGTATTCGTTTTTATCTTTAGAGTTTCGAAACTTGAGTGTTGTTAGCTAAAAGTTTGTGTATTTGAGTGATCGCTATACACAAATCAAAAGTTGTTGTATCTTGGAGGTGTTAGTCGTAAATCGTGGGGAATATACAAGGCTATTTTGTCTTAATAAGAATGTATCTTATGTGCCTCGACTTTGATCATTTTCTTGACATTAAGAGAAAACTACAAAACCCACGTATCAACCCTGTATTACTCAACATCTTGTGTAACAACTGTGATTTTCCATTTACTAATACTACTTTTAAGAGCATTCCTAATGATTCATGGATTGCTCTATTTTATTGACATGTGGCACAATAAATCCTATGTGGCATTGAAAATGTCTAGAAGCCCTTTTTAGAGCATTTCCAATGCTCTAATGTTGTTGTAGAATAAATTTTGACAAATGTCAATAAATTAAATGAATTGTGAACCATGTAGGAAAAATGTTAAATTTACAACTATGAAATTAAAAAATTATCTCCAATGCATAATGTAGTGTAACTAAAATACTAGTGCAGGGCCCGTGCGATGCACGTGGCGCACAATTTTAAAGCTATTTATCCTAGCTTATAATTATATACATGAATAAAGAAAAATGTACGGGATATATATAATAATGTACGGGATATATATAGTGCGTGACCCGTGCGAGGCACGGGATATATTTATTTGGGATGAAATACTTATTAACTTGTTTGATTAAGCTAAATCATTGATTCATTATTTTGAATGAAATACTGATTGGGGATATTTTTTTCGTAGGAGGTTGAAAGTGAGGAAGACGATGACTCAATATTTTGAGATTTATAATTTATAATTGGTAGAGTAGAATCAATATCTGTTAAGATTTTTCAAGAAAAATTCTTGATATACGGAAATCACGTAGATCAGATTTTCCATACAATTAGATAAGATTTTTTGTACAAAGATAAGAAGGAATTTTAAATCTACACAAACTATAAATATTAGATGTATTGATTTACGTAAATCAATATCTATATAGATAACTAAACCCTTCAATTTAGGTTTGACATCTGATTTATTTTGTGTAAAATCAAGATTTTATCTTCCAATCAAATATGCCTTTTTTTGTTTTACGTACATTTATTTTTTGTACCGATTTTATGGAAAAAAACAATTAAATAAAAATTAAATTGATAGAAATAGAATGCATTAATTACTTTTGACTTTTCTTTCTACTAATTCTAATAAATGAGATGGCTCTTTATATAAGTATAGATTAAATGTTCGAAAAATTGGTATTCAATGTATGTTGTAATGTATGAATAAGTAATATGTATTGTGATAGCTAATAATTGAAATAAACTAAAAAGTCTATACAAATAAGTAATATTCAAATATAATATTAAAAATTTCGAACCAAGTTCTACTCGATGAAATGAAAAACAGCATCTACACAATGCGGCTGTTAAAAATAAAAAAATAAAACTAAAACTATAACCTAAATTATTTTAAAATAAGATAGCAATCACAAGAATTCAGTTAATCTAGTTTAGAATTTTTATTTGTATAATAATCATTATCTTTATTGTTGTAAAATAGATATCTGTTAGGAGTGCTATTCAAAATCATACGGGATCAAATTGTTAGGTCCGAGTTTGAAGGCCAACATAGCAATTAAAGAGTCTGGTGAATCAAATACTTCTTTAGAATTTTTATTTGTAAAATAATCTTTATCTTTATATTTGTAAAATAAATATCTTTTAGGGTAGCTATTCAAAATCATACGGGATCAAATTGTTAGGTCCGAGTTTGAAGGCCAACAGATTAATAATGTCCGAAAATCTATATTTAGTAGGCATTAAATGTATTTGGCGGGAAATAACTGCTAAAATTGTTAACTAATCTTTTTATATAATGATAGATTATCTACTTATCAAATTATTAAAATTGATAATATGTAGTAAGAAAATTAATTAAATAAATAAATAATTTATAATTGGTAAGAATAATTCCCTCTCTCCTCTTCTCTGTTAGCTAGAGTGTAGAGGAAAATGTGGATGAACCACATTCTTCGCTACATTGTAGACATTAATTATGTCCGCATCATCACAACATTTGTGATCACACAATGCATTGGAGGATGAAAAATTGTGATATTGCTAAATATGTTAATGTAAAATGTAATTTACAACAACAATATTTGAGCATTGGAGATGCACTTAGACATAAAGGTACTTTTAAACATTTTCTATTATATTATTTATTACATATCTTTCTCATCTCCAACCAATTATAATCATACTCATGTTAAATTATACTAGAGTTGACAAATATTATTGAAGACACAATTTTGCAATTTTTTTTTTCTTATGTTATACATCTCAAATGAATAAAATACCATTGGAAATGTTTTAATTTTTTAAGAGTCATTTATATAACCTACTAATTAATTTCCTAATCTTTTGGGACAAAATTAAATAGTGGGCAAGTTGCTGAGACCGTTGCCTACAGCTACAAATTATTTGGGCCTTCAAAATTAGTTGGTAAAGGAAATTATTTTTGCTTATATATATATCCAACATATTTTGATAAAGGAAATTATTTTTCTACACGGCCAGTTATTATTATTATTATTATTATTATTATTATAAAATCATTTGCAACCTTTTAAAAAAAAGTAAAATACCTTTTTGCTACGAATCACACAAATATCCCGCACCAATGGGTAAGTTTGTAACTAACTCTTACATAAAAACCGGCAACCAAATCAAACTCTCTCATAAAAAGAACAAATAAAGAGAGGATAT